AAAAAAAAAAAAGAAACCAAAAAAGAAAAAAAAAAAAAAAATGACAGTCTCACTCACTCATATGCTACTTTAGTAACTTTGATTGAGGAACATACTAAAAATTAAGTAATTGCCTTCCACCATACAGTAACTCTCAAATCCTTTTCGTCTGACGCCAAACCTGTTATAATACATTTTTATGTGCATATATATAAAAAGTTTACAAATATACATATATATATATATATATATATATATATATATATTGCATTATTGGCTTAAACTTTTGCATTATTGGCTTAAATTTTATTTTATTTTATTTTATTTTCCCCAGTCCCAGTTCACTTTTATTTTATTTTATTTTATTTATTTTTTTAATTTTTTTATTTTTTTCCCAGTCCCAATGCTCTTTCATTGCATGGAAAAAAGCAGCATGAACATTTTGCTAACCATCTCTATTCATTAATATATACTACAATTTAAAAGTTTGGGTCAGTTTTAATTAAATTAATACTTTATTAAGGAAAGATGCGTTAAATTGATCAAAAGTTACAGTAAATACATTCATAATGTTACAAAGATTACTCGCATGTGACACTGAGATTGAAGTAATGATGCTGAAAATTCAGCTTTACCTCAGAGGAAAATAATACATTTTATTATATATTTAAATGGAAAACAGTTCTTTTAAATTATAATAATATTTCACAATATTGCTGTTTTTACTGTAGTTTTGAGTAAAATAAAATATAAAATAAAACAATACAATTAAATATAAAATAAACTAACATAAAATAATAATACAACACCAACATTTTGAACAGTTCTGTACACACATATTTCCTTTCCACCCATTTGCCTTGCACATCAATAAGATTAACATTTAAAATAAACAGATGCTAATTATTATAATTATGTAACATTATAAAAAAGGAAATGTTTCCCATGATTTTGGGTCGATAGCCAAGAACAGAAAGTAGGCTATTCATTAAAGCCTGTGTGTTCAAAGCATCAGCTCTCTATTGAAATAAGCACCTGCTCTTTTTAATGAAGTTGTTGCATGTTTGACTTTAATGACTAAATTTTCTCATCAGCTCTGAACAAGCAGTACAAAGGCACTGATCGATGGCATTAGTAATGTAATCACCTCCCTATTGTGCTTGATATCTCTGCAGTGTGCAAGCCGGGCTTTTACCGATCAGCTCTTCAGACCAAAAGCTGCAGTAAATGTCCTCCCAGAAGTTTCAGCAAAGTGGAGGCCTCCACCTCCTGTCAGTGTGAGCAGGGATACTACCGGACCGAATCGGACCCCACCAACATGGCCTGCACAAGTAAGAGCTGCTTCTATTAAAGGGATAGTTCACCCAGAAATTAAAATGTGCTGTTATTTTTCTCACTTTCAGGCCATCCAAGAAGATTTTTTTGTTTTTGTTTTTAAGTACAGCAATTTTTAGCTGAAACTGTGATCCTTGGTTATTCATAAAATGCAAGGCAACCAGGACTTTGAGAGTCAAAAACACAAAATGAATCCCTGTGGCTCCTGACGATATATTGAGATCTTATGAAGCGAAATGACTGGTCTGTGCAAGAAACTGAACATTATTTACAGCATTATTACCTGTAGGGCAAATGGTGCGGAATGATTTGAATAATTTGAACCACATTCTTTTGAACCGGTGCTTTTTGGTGAACTAGTTGAACCAGTTCACCAAATCGGACCAAAAGAATCCAAAAATAATTGGATTTCCCCATTGCCTGATGTTGTATATAATGTTCAGTTTCTTGCACAGACTGATCGTTTCGCTTCGTAAGACCTCAATACATCGTCAGGAGCCACAAGTATTAATTTTGTGTTCCTTGATATACTTTTTTGGACGTGCTGGTGGCCATTGACTTGCATTTTATGAACCACCAAAGGTTGGTGGTTGGATGGGCAGGGGATTGAGAAAATTAACAGAAAAAAAATCATTTTTGGCTGAACTATCTTTTTAAGTGTACTGTTATGCCATTTTTTATTTTTTTTTGGTATAATGTTCATCATTTTATCGTGATATACTCTATTATCTTGCAGAGCCACCTTCGGCCCCACGTAACGCTATTTCCAACGTCAACGAGACCAGTGTCTTCTTGGAGTGGAGCGCTCCGGAGGAAACAGGCGGTCGGAAGGATGTTCGATACAACATCGTGTGCAGTAAGATCAGCACAGATTCAGGCCAGTACGAGCCATGTGGAAGTCATGTGCGATATCTGCCTCAGCGGACAGGTCTGAAGAACACCTCCGTCATGGTCATGGATCTCCTGGCTCACACCAACTACACCTTTGAGGTGGAGGCTGTGAACGGGGTGTCGGAACGAACCGCCCCTTTGAGGCAGTACGTCTCACTCAATGTCACCACCAACCAGGCCGGTGAGTAGATCCGTCCCTCTGGAATTGTTCCTATTACATGCTAAAGCTTAACATGACAAAGTTCATGCTGTCCGCAAGAGCTTAAAATGGCATTTGCAAATCATTTAATTTATGTAATGCGACACATTTAAGAGTGAAACTAAATATTTGGCTGGAAATAATTTAGGACGGGGCTTCATCTGATCTTTGGATTTGGCTGGATCAGGAAAAGTGTCTATTTTAAACATAAACTGTATTTGCAGACGTAGTCTTTCGTAGTCCATAATGAGACTTAATGCAGTTTTACTTGTGTTTTGTTTAATATTTCAGATTCCTTAGGTGAAATATAAGAATGGAGCTCAAATGATCATTTGGTGGCCCCTGTGAAAAGGAAGTGCATTTAATTGTATTGGATGTACTTTTGTAGTGTTCCTTTCTAGTGCACCTGTAAAGTATAATAATAAACTGGACTTGCAGATACTGTATAATATAATATGAAATGAAATGAAATGAAATGAAATGAAATTAAATTAAAGACACTTAAGCTTACTTAAAGACAAACACTTTCATAATTCTTCGCACGCTTATGTACACTTTCAAAAAGTGCACTTGGTAATAATATCAAATTAAAAATGTTACTTTCAAGTAAATTTTTAATCCTTATGTTTTAATATTTTTTTACGCTTATTTTACAGTACACTTATTTTGATGTGTTGACTAATATACTGTAGCACATTTAAAGTACCTGATTATAATAATTTACAATTTATGTAATTCATAATATAATGTAAATGATCCATTTTGATTGGACAAAGCTGCAGCTTCATCATAACAAATATATTTAAATAAAGACATACACGTTTAAATAGAATTGATGTTATATACTTATATTTTATTCATATATAAGTGTATTGCAGTTTATCATAAACGCTTGTCAGTACATTTAACATTACATGCTAACCATATATCAAAGACAATAGAGTAAGTTATGAAAATATGTATGAAATGTATTTAAGTCCTACTGAAATTCAATTTAATGTAATGAATATTCAATCAATTGATTAAGTGCCTGAAAACATTACATTTAGTTTACACTAACATTTAAAATTATTCTAAATTGTTTTTTCTGTAATATATTTAGTATGCTAAAGTGTACTTCTTTTTCACAAGGGGTTGGGAGAATGTGATGGGATATATTTGAGTTTATACCTTAAGATTTTGGGTTTTCCAAAAAAATTTAAAAAAATAATAAAAGAAAAATATTTCAAAAGTTTTTTTTTTTTTTTTGATGATTAGGGCTTACAGCTCATGAAAGTCAAAAATCCAGTATCCAGTATCCGTCCCTTCAAAATAAATTCTGGGTATCTCTTGTTCTTTGAAACTACAATAATGGGGAAGACTTGGCAATGAACCAGAAGACAATCATTGACACCCTCCACAAAGAGGGTAAGTGACAGAATGTCATTACTGAAAGCGGTGGCTGTTCACAGAGTGCTGTATCAAAGCATATTAATCCAAAGTTGACTGGAAGGAAGAAATTGGGTAGGAAAAGGTGCACAAGCAACAGGGATTGCAAGCTTGAGAATACTGTCAAGCAAAGCCGATTCAAACACTTGGGAGAGCTTCACAAGGAGTGGACTGAAGCTGGAGTCAGTGCATTAAGAGTCACCACGCTCAGACGTCTTCAGAAAAAGGGCTACCAAGCCACTTCTGAAACAGAAACAACGTCAGAAGCATCTTACCTGGGCTATGGACAAAAAGAACTGGACTGTTGCTCAGTGGTCCAAAGTCCTCTTTTCTGATAAAAGTAAGTTTTTAATTTCATTTGGAAATCAAGGTCTGGAGTCTGGAGGAAGACTGGAGAGGCACAGAATCCAAGCTGCTTGAAGTCCAGTGTGAAGTTTCCGAAGTCAGTGATGATTTGGGTGTTTCATCAAGTCCAAAGTCAATGTGCCATCTACCAGGAGATTTTGGAGATTTTGTAGCTTTCATCTGCTGCCAAGCTTTATGGAGATGCTAATTTCCTTTTCCAGCAGGACTTTAGGGACTTTAGCCAGTGCCAAAACCACTTCCAAGTGGTTTGGTGACCATGATATTACTGTGCTTGATTGGCCAGCCAGCATACCTGACCTGAACCCCATATGGAATCTATGGGATATTTTCAAAAGAAAGATGAGAAACAGTCGATCCAACAACACAGATGAGCTGAAGGCTCAATAGTGCCTCAGAAAACAGTATGACAGGTTCCAAAAAATATTAAGCAGCACAACTGTTTCCAGCATTGATAATAAATTAGCATATTACAATTATTTCTGAAGGATCATGTGACATTGAAGACTTGATGAAGACTGGAGTAATGGCTGATAAAAATTCAGCTTTGCATCACAGAAATAAATTATATATTAAAAGGATGTGTGAGTTTGTGTGTGTGTGTGTGCGTGTGTGTGTGTGTGTGTGTGTGTGTGTGTGTGTGTGTGTGTGTGTGTGTGTGT